AAGAGGGGTTTTTTTTATAAACAATACATTACGATTTGTCTACAATTGTAATGTTAAAAAATATAAATCAAAATTATTAAACAATTATAAAATACTATCTTAAAAGCAACTTATGATTCATCGTACTATGCCTTTTTCTCGTTTAAATTATATTAAACATTAAAACAAGGGGTTTTTGTTTTATATAAATAATACGTTACTTATGTCTTTATAATTAATAATGAATTATGTTCAATCTTTTATTTTTTACTACTTAAATTTAAATTGACAGAGCCTACGATCGACGAATTTTCGTATAAACTTTCATCGAAACTTTTCGTAATAGGAAATGTTTAAAGAAAACGTAGGTGGAATAAAATGAAGAAGAAGAAGAAGAAGAAGATGAAGATGATGATGAAGAAGAACAGGAAGACCCAAACGACCCTCCTCTCCCATGATTATAAATACTTTGCCATAAGATGGCTGGCATCCTATCTATACGGGAAGCTTGCAGTAAGATATACGAAAAAGGTGTTCTTAAGTGTTCCCTTGAGGGCAAGCCCAACAGCTTTGAAGGGAAAAAAAAACAAAAAAAAAAAAGAAGAAGAAAAAAAACGTGCCTTATCGACCATCTTCCTTTGACTCTCACTCTCCTTCTCTCATTTTTTTTTTCTTTCAACTTTCGTAGCACACACACACACGTGTACACTTCTTCCCCCACTACCAAAACACAAACACACACGCCTACACGATGGGCACGTGTATAAAAAGAAACAGTTTCCTCCTTGAAGTTTGGGCCATTTCGATAATCAAGATCGTCGTTTATGCGATCAAGAAGGTCGAAGGTCATCGTAGATCCCCTATCGATACTACTCGAGTATAATTTCTGTTAGATCGCCTTTAAAGAGAAGAAAAAAGGAAAAAAAAAAAAAATAAGTGGATTTATATATTTCGTTAAATTTTTCCTCTATAAACATAAACTTTAAACAGACACGCGATTAAATACTTTTGTTTCTTTTTTTTTCTTTACTGTTAAATTAAAATTAATGAAATTTATAATTATTCCTTTATTTATCTCGAATATTATACAAATTTATCTTCGTATCAAATGTAATAATGTTTGATTATCTGTAAAAAAAAAAAAAAAAAAAAAAAAAAAAAAGAATTGTTATTTTTCTCAGCGTGATTTTTGATAAAATATAAACAAAATGTTAATAGTTACAAATATTATTCTTCGATTAAAAATATATCCTATCGGTTATTTATATTCACCCCTTACGTATGTCAACGTTTGTACTAGGAAGGGTCGGTAAAGCTGACATCGAAGTGTGTATTACGAAGATTCATTTAATATAAATGAAAAATTACTACGGGGTGTTTACAAATTTTCCCAAAGGTAGGGAAAGAAAATGAATTGGGGTTGGTTGGTTGGTTCAGGAAAAGGATTAATTCTCCTAAATATTTCCCTTCTTTTTTTAAAAGTTTTAGGATTTCAAAAATTGGAACGTGATCGTTCTCCAAAAAAAAAAAAAAAAAGAAGAATAAAAAAGTAAACACAAATTAGAAAACAATTGTAAATACGTATACGTATGTTAATAGAAAAATATATGAGAGAATGATCGATGATAGTTACCTGTCCAATATTATCCATCAACCTGTACTGGTTTAACTGTAATCCACCTTGAGTGTTATCGATAGAGACTCTCCTACTTTCTCTTAGAGGTCTCCTACGATTTCTCGGTGATCCCTGAGGACTACCGTAAGGAGAATAAGGACAATAAGGATAAATGGGTCTGACCGAGACCGCAGCAACGTCTGCTAGTACTCGATGATGAGTAATACTAGTACCACTGACGATTTCACCATCTTGAGAAAATTTTGTAAACGTTGTTGATGATCCCGTTAAAACACGAACACCTGGAACGTTGTTGCTAGGAGGAAGACAACCAGCACCATCACCACCATCACCAGCACCACCACCACCACCACTACCACCATCAACAAAATTAGCATCGTCATTTCTTGTCTCGTCTTTTTTCGAATGATTATTCGTTGGAGAAACGTTGGAAGAAAAATTAGTGGACAATTGAACGATCGATGATAATCGATCGGATATTTTTCCCATCAGTTCCCCTTCTTCTTCCAGCCCCCTCCTTCTTGTTATTTCCAACGAAATCCTTCGATCGTTAGGACAAAGTTCGATATCCAAACGATCGTCAGTTCTGTCCTCCGATTGGGTCGATATAAAACGATAAACTTTGTTCGTAGATCTTGAAATTATTTCCGGTTTTGTATTATCGATTATCATTGATTTCTTTTTCAATTTTTTCTTCTTCTTTTTCATGCTATCAATGATCTCAAGATCATCCTCTTGTTTTGATGATTCCTCGCTAGATTCTAATTGAATTTCTTCTCGAACGCATTCGATGCTCGTTGTTATACTATTTTCGTTGTTAGATGATAGATTAGTCTCAACGATCGATTCAACTTCATCATCTTTTTTTCCTAACAATTCTACGATGGCCTCGTCTTCTTTTTCTTTCGAACACGTATCGGATACGATATTTGTTCGTACAGTTGTCGTTTCTTTCGGCCAACATTCGTTCGATAAATTTTCTAATGATTTTGTTACGCATTCCGAATCCGTTACGTTTGTCGAAACGATCGATGATTGATTTGAAGATTTCTCGTCTATGAAAATAAATCAAACAAATAAAGTATTATATTATTTTGATTAAAAATAATGTTTTTTTTTTTATTCTTTTACTCTCGTTAATCGATATATAATAATATTTTATATTACATTAAATGAAATATTAATATCGTAGTTGACAAAGAAAACGACATCGATTAATCTCCTCTTTCCTCTTTTTCCTCAATTTTTTTTTTTTTTCCAAACTAAATCCGATGACGATATAATAATACTAACCCGTTTCGTCAAAAGATACGTCAATGGAATTATAAAACAACGAACTATGTCGAATGAGAAGGAAACAATGAGATATCATCAGTTTCCAATGGATTTATTTAATACTCTACAATTTTCATCAACAGTGTGTGACAATATTTCTCTTGATTGATCCTAATATAACGGTATCCGATAGTTCCATTGATTGTTACATCGATCGTATATTAATAATAATAATGATAATAAAAAAAAATACCAACGTAAAAAAATACGAGATGTAATTTTCGTTTTCTTTAATTCCATTTAATAATTATTTCTTCTGTACGTAATTATTTCACCGATATAATATGAAAAATGAAATAAAATAAATAAATCATTGATTTAAGTATCCTACCAAACGTAAATTTAAATGAAACCTTCTTCATTATTAATATGAAAATTGAAAGTGGTCAAAAATAATCATAAAAATATTTGTCCAATGAATAAATCATGTCGTTGTTGAAAAAAAGATAAATCTTTACACCGTGACCTAATTAAATCTAATCCATAATTTCTATGATACTGTGTATAAGGCTTATAATATCGAAAATATTAAAACTCACTTGCATGACCAAGATCGTGAAGATTTTCTTGCGATAAGGATGAACTGTTAGAATCGTCCTTGACAAGTTCCTTGACTTCCTCTATGTCAGGCATATCCAAACCCGAGCTCGAAAGCTTCCTGTGCACCTCGGTGGTCGGCATCCTTTCCAAACCGTTATTATTATTCCTATTATTATTATTATTATTATTATTAATACCGGATGCTAAAGAAAATCTTAATTCTTCTTCTCCGTATCGCGAATTCAATCTTTTGGCCGATGATCTTCTTCTTTCTTTCGAAAAATCTTGAATCACATCGAAATTCCCCGAATTTCTTCTATCCTCGTCGAATGTACCCAAATTACTCGCGTAACCGCTACTTTCTCTACGTGGTCTTGAAAATCTATACGTGCCGCTTAATCTTTTAGCAAATTCACGAGGATCAAAACCTTCGGCTTCCTCGAGAAATAATGCACTGTCCTTTCGTACTTCGATTATTTCGGAATCCGACGTTTCTTCCGGGCTCGACGCAATCTTAACGTTATCCTATAAAAATAAATCACCACTATATCACATCACATACCCCCCCAAAAAAAGAGTGAGATTTAATAAACGTATGGAAGAGAGAGAGAGAGAGAAAGAAAAAAAAAAGTTTAATGATATTTAAACTTAATTAAACTAGATTGATCCTTCTTTGTTAATTGGGTCGACAAAATTTAGATACGATCTCTCTTTCCCGTTTACTTTGATCGACGAAAAAGAAGAAGATATTTGATTATTATTATTATTATTATTTCTATTTTAAACGCAAGTAAAAAAAAGTTTTGCGAACTTGATTAACTCTTTTCCTACATTTTCTTTTCTTTTCTTTTATTTTATTTCAAACAGAAAAAATTTGATCTTATCGTTAATTGGATGGTTATTTCATCAATGATGGAAAATTGTGTTAAATCTAACGAAAAGTTTCGTTTAACTTATATCAGAGATATGAAAAATGTTACTTTGATAAAAGAAAAAGGAAATTAAAAAAAATTAAAACACTATCGAATCTTCCTTAAAATATAATATTATCATTGAATTTATTAGAATGAATTAATTACCGAACTAAGAGACGAAGTATTCTTCCATTTTGGATCCTGCAACTCGGTGGTAAATGTTTCGGTTTGCAATGTAGATCCTTTATCAAGATCGTAAGAGATTTTTTCAATTGGTACGGACAATTTTTCAAGAATATTTTCCTTTGTCCGACCACGTTTATCGACAAAAATATCCTTACGTATTTTTTCCGAACCGTAAGGATCCAGGATTTCGGTTGTTTCGATCACTTGACACCTTGATAATTCGTCTCTTCCTTTTATCTCGAAAACACTCGGTAATATTTCTTCCTGATCGGTTTTTTTCCCCATCAACGAATGTACAGGATTATTTTTGTTCGATGATTCCAATGGGATTTCCAGTGTCACGTTTTTTTCCACCTCCGATGGCGATATTGTCAACTTTTTTGACGACGAACTCGGTGATTCCTCGTCAACTGCGTCGTACCTGGACACATAAATTTATCGATCGATTTATAAAATAATGTTTCAAACAATCAACTGTTATTCGAGAAATAAATCAAAATGTCGAATAAGTTTGACAGGAAATAATCACACACTGTTGTAAATTTACGCGAAATCAATTTGATACTGAATAATGAAACTTTTTATACTTAACTTACTTTTACTTTAACTTTTTTTTTTGATACAATAATTAAACTTTTATTTATTTCCTTTTTAATACCGATTACAAATAATTTACAATTTGTTAAACAATTCAATCGGTATTCTCTTATTTATTTATTTATTTATTTATTTATCTATCGATAAAAAAAAACAAAGCAACAAAATGATCAGAATGATTGAGTCGTAATTGTGCGATAATTGAATAATAAAACAAAATTATCATAGCACGAAAAAGTAAATTTACGGAAAGAAAAGATGGTAAATAAATTCAATCGAAGGAATAAAAATTTGCTGACGCGTTTATATATTACGTTGAATATTCAAATTCTTAGAATACAAATCGTGAAAATTGTAACGAAACGATACGCGTTACGAGGTTTGAATTAATTTTCTGAGAAAAAGTGAAGAAGAAAGGGAGTGGTATATGAGTACGCGTATCAAGAAAATAATTATAGTTAATGCATTTCAACCGTGGACGAATAAGAGAACGAGTCATTAAATTTCGAATAACGCGAAGAGCAACGGGTGTATAAACTTTCACGAATAGAAATAGGATGCTGGAATAAATTTGCAATTGAAATCTCGTCTTGTCTCGTCTCATCTCTCTCTCTCTCTCTCTCTCTCTCTTTTTCTCTTTTTGTTTACCGGTTAAAATATAAAATTTAAATGACATATTATTTCCTTAACGGAAAACTAATAGTAAACGGATAAACGAAAAGAAAAGTTTTATTTGAAAAATCTTCAAACATATTCTACGACATATTTTTATTTGTTCTCTCACACGAAATTATCCACAGGTTTTATTTCTCGTAAAATAATTCAAAAGCTCGTGTGATATATAATGAATATTATTAATAATATATTTTTTACTTCAATTAATATATCATATCCCTGTATCAACACATATCGTAGAATTAAATTTGTAATTGTTTTACAATAAACGAATAAAATTAAAAATCAACATTTTTCTTTACAAAATTGTAATTCGTATAATACTTTTCATTTAATCAACACACACTAGCTAGCAATTCGTTCGAGAAAAAACAAAAATCAAAAATAAAACGAACGATCTTAAATAAATATCTTCAAAAGGGTTAAGACACCAATTGAATTTCATTTCTCGAAATGAACGTTCACGTAAAGAGTTTACCAATCAATTTAATTGTTATTTTCTGTCTAAAACACGAATATATGTTTCTAATTTTATAGTAAAGGAAATATACGAGGGAGAATATCGAATCCGAACGTTAAATATTAATATTCGAGTTTCATTAAAGAGTATGACTATCGCGTATTTGTTTATGTAAGTAAAATACGTATTTTCTATGGGAAATTAAAACGGAAATTCATTCGAAAATGTTACCACGATCTAATATTCCAGTTTTGAAAATGATACGGGAAGACTGTCGAGGTTTCAAAAGATCCGTCTCATCGTTAAACTCTATAGTGAATAATGAAACAACACACAGTTACGTACATACACACACACACACACACACAAATAACATTTTTCGAAATAATTTAATTGTACCTCATTTTGTCGTAAGCGTTATGACGAAGGTACGAACTAGCAAACGTTCTCGTTAAACGTTTACAGCTCACCGAGACGTAACGAACATCGAATTATGAAAAAAAACAATAAAAGGAGATACAACAAAATGCAATTATGAAAAAAAGAAAAAGAAAAAATAGAGAGAGAGAGAGAGAGAGAGAGACACACACACACAAATTGATATTTATACAATTATGAAAGAAGTCTAACTATTGCTATGTTCTCTCCTTTTATTTATTTATTTTTTTATTTTTTAATGACAACGGATACCCCTCGAAGAAGTAGATAGCCATAAATTATTTGAAACTGCATCATTGTAGTAAAAAAAAACAAAAAATTGTAACGTAACGTCAGATTTATTATGAAACGAACAATTGTTATCTGTAATTTTATTTTTTTTTGTTTGTTATGAAAACAAGAAAAACTTCGAGCATTAGCATAACTTGCAAAACAAAAAAAAATGAAAGTAAGTTTAGTTTTGCACGAGCGTGAAACAATTAAATAGCGTATCCCATAATTACCATAAGCCGATCACGCGAAAAGCGAGCTTAACTCGTTCGCTTTAAGTAGCTCATTTTTTTTCATTATCATCGAGGTAAGCACGCGATACCGTGACGCCAAAACTTTTAACTATCGCCTTTATTACGTACTCTTGATAATCAAGGTCGAAAATAATCGAAAGTCTATTTTTCATTCTGAATTATACGCTGACAGAATCGTTCTTAGTAATTCATTCATTTCCAACACATTCTGCACCCTTATTTTATCTAGAAAAAAAAAAAGGAATTTTTCCTATTACATTTTTTTTTGTAATTTATATTTATTACTATAGTTAATCCCATTATTTTTCCTATCCTTAATAACAATAATAATAATCATAATGTTTTTATTTAACTTTTCTCAGTCACGTGTAGAATTTGATACACGCGATCATCTAATAATACGAATTTCTAATATATTATATTTTAATAGAAATAAATTATAATTTAGAAACAAAAATATTTCACATTTATTTAAATTAAATGAATTTTTAATATTATTTATTATTTATTTATTAAAAATACGTACATTTTATGTTATAATATATATGTTTGTTATCTCTATTAACAAAAACAAAAAAAAACAACATTACTTCTTAGATTTTCCTTATTTTTTACACTCTTTCTGTTTTTACTATATCGAAAAGTAAATTTATTGTCAATCCTTGTTCGAATCGATAATCAACTTAGATAAAAGAAATACACGTATAATTGATACGTAAGTACGTAAATCCAATTCACGCATACATTTAAACAAATATAAATGTATATTCATTATGACATCACTAGATCACATTCTTAACACCTATGCGAATCCTACAGATCATTAATTATTTCTTTTTTCCTTGTTTGTCTTCTCATAGATCGTAATACTCATTCTCTTTTCCTTTTTTTGTTTTCTTCCTTTTTTTTTGTCTCCATCAACCCATTCTCCTATCGGTCTTTTTGTTATCTATCTATCTATCTATCTTTCTATTTCTGTCTCTCTCTCTCTATCTTTCTTGAACATTTCCGAGAAAGGACAAATCACGTGTGCTCGTCTCACAAGATTAAAGTCCCTCGTGTCTAACCGTGGAAATCGTTCGTACGACAAACAACTCTTCCTAATTCGATACTCGATCCCTAACTTTACTATAGATCTATTTTTTTTTTGTTTACTACCAACGACAAAATGAGAAATAAGATTAGAAAAAGAAATGAATGAATAAAAGTAAAAATAATTTCAATTGTTCTTACGAACATTACTATTAGCATCTAACTGAAAAGTAAGAATAAAAATAAATAAGAAATTTTTAATGATGAAATTTCACAGGGAGCTTGGACATGAAAGAAGTAGAACTATGTTTGATTTAGTTAGACGTTTCGTCCCTTTATTGGGACTTCTTCAGCAACTTAATCATCAAAGTTCAGCGTCTTTTTTATTTAATTTCAACATATTTCTTTTTATAATATTCTAAAACACAATACATCTAAAACTTCGTTAGTTTGGTCGTTATTATTTAAAAGCCTCAACAAAACTAAATCAAACATAGTTCTACTTCTTTCATGTCCAAGCTCCCTGTGAAATTTCATCATTAAAAATTGTAATTTTTGGACGAGAGAAATACTAAATAAATAAATAAGAAACTTTTGTGATTGGAAAGAAAATAAACTAGAACAAGTTAAAAATATTTTCAATTTTTTGTAAAGTTAAAGAAAAAAAAATGAAAAAGATAATTCTAGGATAGGACAGTTGTGTTCGTTGGTTCGTTCGTTCGTTCGTTCGTTCGAATATCCAATGAAAATCTCGATGAGAAATCCGAAAATCAATTCGTCCTTCTCGCACTTTAGGAAACTCTGACAAACCGCAAACCTATTCTATATAGTATAGGTATATAAGTTCGTTTTAGTGAAAACGTACGAATATACCAACGGAATTTCCCCTTTCCCGAAATTTCATCACCTATCTAGGCCCAACTTTCTGTTGGGAAATTAATTTCAAAACTGCCTTAACAACTTCGCGTCCCCGGCGCGTCCCGGACGCATACGCGAAAATTCGAATAGGATTATTGCGTTCGTAGAACGACATTTTGTTCGATAGTAATACGTTATTGGTTCGTGTATTATTATTAAAATCTTCTTTTTATAATATATACCAAAAATATTATATTAAAATTAATTGTGAGATAAATATAAGTAAAGTAATGATAAGACATTGTAAAAAAACTTTGTAAGTTGTGCAATAAAAACCTAATTATATATATATATATTATAAATTATATATTATATTAATA